AAGTCTCGGTGGAGAATATTTGCTGAGTGAAGATATTTCAGGCCTCGAAGCAGCTGCAAGAAGAATAATGAATTACAACCGCCCAAAGTACAGAATTTTGTAATATTTGATCATTTCCAAGTTACAATAGAAGCTTTAATGCAGAATACAGAAGCACAATCCCAACATAATTATCTCAACTGAATGACTATATAAAATTTATGCTATATACACCGAAATCTCTTTACATCCAAATGACTTTAAGCGGTGGCAGTCAGACAGACCCGAGACGCAACTAAAATGGATAGGCTTCCTAAGAAATAATTAATGAAGAATAGTACTCCAATATTAATTTGCATAAAGCTTGTCGATGCATAACCATACCAGATCCATTACTAAATAACTAACTATACTTGCAATATCAGGTCACTGCATTAATGCCTGAAAGCTTGAATGCCTAGAACATGTTTCTCCCTAAACCTACCATTAGCAAACTCCAATCCCTAAGTGTTACCTGTTACCTAGTCATGTTAAAGCATCAGAGATCAATTAGCTGAAACAAACGTTTTCATCCACCAATGGTTCAATCAGGTGCTAAGAATAAGATCAACATTCCATGTATTCCAGACATAAAACATCTAAACTAGTAAATGCTCGTATAACATAAATCATCAAATGTTATTGTTAGTAGAAACACATAGCATCCACTTTGCGAATATTCAGATTCAAAATTCAACAATTTAATTTATTGCTTCTTTGTGTAAGCCTCATTTAACGAAATACAATGGTTTATACTTTGATGTAAAGTTGATATCAAGGAGTGGTCTGTTAATACAACCAATAACAAAATGGCTAGGAAATAAGCCCACACATTTGAAATTGGAACTCCTTAGTTTCTCACTCATCTATATGAACTTCGTTCAACTTAAATGTAATGCCACCTAACAAGAAAAGTTACGCGTATAAAAAAATCAACTAATATGTGCCTTTGCAAGGGATTGGTAGATACCTGGAAGAGGAAATACTGACAGTGGTCATTGATAAGCACTTGAGGAGACTTAATGATTTGATGCAAATCGGTATCCATAAGTTCATAAACCAGATAAACATCCTTAAAGCTTCTCCTATGAGTCGGCATCATGACATCTTTCAAAGCAATCACATTTTCATGTTTAAGATGCCTGAGAAGCTTCAATTCACGCAGTGTCCTAAGGGCATCAACACGGTTCTCAAAGGCATTGTATATCTTTTTAATGGCAACTTTCTCGTTGGTTTCACGATTTACAGAGGAGCAAACGATCCCATATGCGCCTCTTCCGATAGGCTTGATGGGCACATATTTGGTATCGATTTCAAACAACGTTTGCCACATGGAATAGTAATGTTTTCCTTGGTAATGAACACCATTTGGAGGCTCAACTGGAGTTGCCATTTTTCTTCCCTAACCAACAATTTTGAAAAAAAGAAAGAAAAATAATTGAATTACTAACGAAATTCTAGTATAAACAAAACTGTTCTGAGTAAGCAGAAAAACAAGTTCCTATTTTGTTTTCACTTTTTTAATGATTAATATACTAATCGGGTGAAAGGCCGTCCGCTTTATCATACAATTAAAGGAGGAAATAACTAAGCATGGTCAGATCTTAAAGTAATACCTGTTTTGGTTAAAAAAAATCTTATCAATTCTTCTTTATTCCAAAAGAACTGAGTTCCAAAATTTCCCGCGATACAGAAGCATCAAACCTGATACGATTGACTAATCCACCTCCGAATTTATTACAAAATTTCTTTAAAACAAAAGGGAAAACTAAAGCTCCATTAGCTCCGACGAAACCCTAATTTAAACAACGACAAGGTTGGGTTGGGTTTTGAGCAAGGAAAAGTGGATCTCGACTATGTAAAGTGACGCCGAGCTCAATACAGAAGCCTTCAGGGTGTCGAATATTCAGAGGGAAAAGAGGAGCTTTATAATGCCAACATCTTTTGTCAACGATGACGAAGAGGTTGGATGGGATCTTTTCAAAGTTAAAGATTCGTTATCTTATCGCCATCCGATCAGAACAACGGCGAAACAAAACAAACTTTTTATATTTTGATTTTATTTTATGCTTATTCATAATACTCCTCTTATTGTTTACAACAGTCTGGATTTTGGAGATGTGTTCCTCTGACCATGTAGAATTGGATAGGGACCCGCCGTAGCATCGGCAAAACCAATTAAGCCATCTCTTTATTGGATTCTATGGTAAATTACGTACAATACCACTAAATATTAATTTATTTTAGGTTAAACCACTCAAATCACCACCTAACTATAAAACTAATATTGATATGACTATCATACTTTTTATTTTATCAATATGACCACATAACTAATTAATCCGTTTTAATCAAATTACCTGTCGTTGACATTTAACGGTAGTACTGATGTGACAATTTTAAAATTAACATAATTATACATTTAGTCCTTAGTACTTAAACATTCTATTAATTTGGTCATAATTTCCATTTAATTCAAAAATTTTAATTCTTTAATCACATGACAACACATGTGCCATGATATGTATCACCACATAATTAGATGAAAAATAAATTAAAGGAAGAAGTTATTGTTAAATGGTTTGTACTTAGGTCCCCAAGAGGACAAGGTGTGCTTCAACCGTTGCACTAAGAATCATATTTGAATATTTGATTAAACTATTACAACACATGCTATTTATCATGTATTAAATGAAAAAAATAACAATAAAATGAATCAAACCTTAATTTATTAGAGAATATATAAGCATCGAAATCATTAAAGAAAAACTAATTATTGATTTGTAGGTAAATATTTTATATATATTAAAAATTGTTATTTAAATTTTTTTATGATATACTTAATTTAGGATTTAAAATAAAAATAAATTTAATAATTTTAAATTTAATATATTGTGCTTGAATTTAATTTTAAAAAATGTTTTCAAAGTAGTTTAACAATATTTAACTTATTTTATAAGAATAAAATAAAAATATTAAATATATTGTACTTGAATTTAATTTAAAATTATTAAACTTACTCACGGTCCACATTCTGCTCCGTATTGTTGCAACGCGGGGGGCCTTAGCTATGGCAATAAGGATGTGATTGGTTAGCAAATGAACTCAGAGCTCAAGTTTTCGGTTCAAACTGTATCGGTTCCGCTTGGGTTCGACTATGGAAAAGGATGGCAGGCAATGGAAGCAAAAATAGGATTTTAGCGCGTTTTTACAATTATATAGTAGTGTTTTTAAGCGCCACTAAAAATCTTTGTGGCGAAAAAATAAGCACCACAAAAAGTGCCGATGAAACAAATGCCGCAAAAGATAGTAGCGTTAGTCGTTCACAAACGCCGCTAAAGGTTATATTTTTTAGCGGTGTTTTTTATAAATGTCGTTAAAGGTAATGATATTTAGTGGCATTTGTAAAAAAATACCGCTATTTATCTTTTTTTTTGTGGCGTTTTGTCCCAAAAGCGCCGATAAATATTTTGATATATAGTGCATTTGTTCCCAAAAACGTCACTAAATGTTATGGCATATAGTGACGTATGTGAATGTAAAATGATGCTATTGACTACGTATATAGTAACGTTTTTTGTATAAACGCCACAAAAGAACTAGAACTTTAGTGGCATTTTTTAAAAATGCTAGTATTGACTATGTATTTTGTGGCATTTTTTATACAAACGCCGTGAATTAAAATTAATTTTTCAGATGTTGTTTTCTACTCTTTTGTTATCCATATTTAAATTTTAACATGTAGTATTATCCAATAAACTTAACATCCATAACGACAAACTTGAAATCCATAACAAGAAACTTGAAATTCATATAATAAATCAAAAGTTTACACTAATGTAAAATATAATGTAGTTCAACATTGTTAACTAGAATAAACAATAATAACACCTAAGATGGTGGACTCTGGAGTTGATTTTGTCGTATCATCTGCATCATAGCTTGAAGTTGATTTTGAAAGTCTTCACATTTTTTCTGATGTGTATCTGAGATTGATACATGAAGAGGTCTCTTGCAGAAGAAGTCGTGGTGAGGCAATAATTTATAGTGACTTATAAGATCAACAACACCACTAAGTTCTCTTAGTCCTACATTTATTTATATACACAATTTCTTGTCAGTTGAAAAAGAAATATGATAACAAAAATATAAATATCAAAGAACTTTACATGAAATTACAATTGACTCTGAATTTTTTAATATGAAAACTTCAAATGAACTGAACAAAGCCAAAAAAACAAAGAAAGTGCAATAAAAACCCTCATTCTAAACAATATTACCTCCTCCAAATTTCTTACCTTCAAGATCCATGTGTTAATGATTCATGAAATATGTACCATCATAAACTGCAAAATTTTAGTCAAAAGTCAGGGAAAATATCCATGAATATTGACTTAAAACATCTATAAAGGTTAAACAAAGATTCACATGCAGCATGGTACGTAGTGTAGAAAGGCTATAACATATTAAAACTAAAAATGCATGCATACATATGGTAAGTACATCTCTTATACACTTTGTTGCCCTTCTGTTTCACACTTGTAAAACTAACAAGCAGCTTACAGTTCCAATGCTAACTTTCACATCAAATATTGTTCTGCAACATAGCAACTAATTTTTTTCCCTCATCTTTTCTACAATTTATTTATATTAACACAATCATATCACTAGTACCAACAAATATGCACATTTGGGCAAAAGATATGTGAAGTAAATCTGATGAAAACCAACTTGGTAGTCAGCTAACTATTTGTTTTCATATCAAAATGCAAAATAGAGGCAAAGCCATGATTAATATTTTCATTGAACATATCAAAGCACCGATAGCCTCAAACATATGGATTCAGTAGAAGGAAATCGACCCACTAACTTTAAAAACTACATTCCCCGGTTAAACGTTTGACCATACCTTAGTAGAAATTGACCAAGAACAGGAATTTTGGTTGAACTCTTGATTTGAGAAACAAGTTTTTTGCTGCCTCTTGGGATAACAAGATCAATCACATCATCGAGCTGAAAATGAATTTAATGTTGAGTTCCAAATTAAACTGTAAAATGTTGTTCTAATGTATAAGTTCTACTGATTGCTCACTTTAGGATCTCTACTAACCTTTAAAAGATCAGGAATCTCATCTCTTGAAGTCACAAGTCCAATAACTTTACCCCCCACAATGTCTGGAATGGCTTCATTTATTACTTATGAATTCAAAAGGAGGTGTGATAAAATACCCTAAAATACAAATAAACATGAAATTTCAATTTCGTAAATCCAAGATAGCGTTTGATCGCTTGGCCTCCTTTCCCCTTTCAGGAGAATCCCATTACCACTTTGAATAGCTAATGAGGCTATCTATTCAAATCATACATAAAGCCACATGAGCATTCCATCTCTCAATATGTATTCAGAGATGGAATGCTTGTTACAAATTCTAAGTATGTATTATACACACATATACATACAAAAAAGAATAAGAGAAATCTCCAATCAAAATTTATCATTACAAACTTTCAACAGTAAACGTTAAAAGAAAAACAAAAGAAATCAATGATACCTCAAACATGAAATGGAAAGTTCACCATTGTACTTATTCAGATCACGGCAAAGCAAAGCTCGAAAATTCAACTTCTTTTTTTCTTGTCTTCTATTCAACTCACTCGCGCTTCTCTACTAGTAAAAATAATACAAAAATATTGTCAAATTCAAATAAAAACAAAAACATAGCGAAATTTAAAACAAAAGAAAGGAAAGAAAGAGAAATTGAGCAGTTAAATGAAGAGCGAGAGAGAAAGGTTGGAAGGGAAGGGAATTGGAAAGGAATTGAAGAGAGTAAAAGGGTAGAAATGGTAAATCAGATAAAGTTCTAGAGAATTCTAAAGCAAGCAGAAGAAGAAAGTTGGAACTTTTATTTTTTTTCTTCTTCTAGGGTTCGGACGGAGGAGAATGACGATGCTAATAAAATTTCCCCCTTTTGCACTCCTCTTCGCTTGGCTTCTTTCGTTGGATCTCGGGGTTTCAACATCTAAGATTTGTTTTCCATCAATTTCAAATTCCTTTTTCTTTGCCACATCTATTCAAGTTCTAATACCCACGAAAGACCATTTCCCTGTAAAAGTTCATCTCTAGCAAAAAATGAAAAAGGGTAAAAGGGGTGCGGGACTTATAAACTGTAATCTTGCAGCGTTTGTAATGTACTGATAAATTGTGGTGTTTATTCAAAAAATACCATTACAGTATGAATCTTTAGCAGTATTTGTATAAAAACGCCGCTAAAGTACAAGTCTTTGGCGGCGTTTGTATAGAAACGCAACTAAAGTATGAGTATTTAGCGGCGTTTGTGCTTAAAACGCCACAAAGTACAATATTTAGCGGCGTTTATATAAAAACACTACTAAAGTACAATATTTAGAGGCGTTTATATAAAAACGCCACTAAAGTACAAGTATTTACTGACGTTTGTTCAAAACATATTGCTAAAAATGCCGCTAAAATCCCATTTTACTGTAGTGGAAAGTTGATACATGGATTTCGAGAGGTGCAGGAAATTAAAATTTTTCTAGGACTTGCCTGTTTAGGTAAACTTATGGCCATCCATCAGCGGGCGATTTGTCACTATACTAACGTTGACAGGTGCCTGGTGTTCTCCGTTGTAGGAAAAATGCCGACAATGTGTTTCGCAGGTGTGCTAGATCGCCAGTAATATGGACAATCTATGTTCATGCAGATAAGTTAAATGCTTTCCTACCCATGAATTTGCATAAATGGTTTATCGTTAATCTTACGGATGCATCTATTTTTGTGGTTAATCGGGATGACTGAGACCTCCTCTTTGGGGCCCTTCTATGGAATATTTTGCTTGATCGTAATGCATGGGTGTTCCTTACTTCGATGAATGACCATGGATCCATTATTGAGAGAAGTCGACGACTGCAATAGATTTTCTGTGAAGCTCGGAATGACTTTAAGTATGTTCAACCTGCTAAGCTGCGTTCTGGCATTGTAGGTGACAATCGAGTTTTATGACGTTGTCCAAGGGTTGTTGAGTTAAGGTGAATGTAGATGGTGGTAATGGTAATGCTATAGGGAGGATTATTCGTGATTTCCATGGTCATTGGCTGGTAGAGTTAAGGTGAATGTAGATGGTGGTAATGGTAACACTATAGGGGGGTTATTCGTGATTTCCATGGTCATTGGTTAGTTGATAGTATATTGAAATATGTTCGATCGTGGAAACCAAATTATGGGATGTTTTCATTAGTTTATTTTGGAGTCCAGTATCTTGAGGTCCTTCGAAAGACATTAGTGCATTGCTTCATTATGACGTGTCTGACGTGTCTGATTCAGATCCATGATCTCTGGGTGGGGCTGTGAGCTTGGTTGTCTAAGGATTTTGTTACTTTGCTTTTGACCTTTTTAAGAGTTATATGTGTACTCTTTTCCTCCAATTAGATTATGAAGGTTTTTAATAAGACACATATTATTCTTTATGTGTGATTTTCTTTCTTAATCATGTAATCTTTACCAAAAAAATATTAACTTATTTTTTTTATAAATATAGAAAATAAAAAACATATTAAAATTATTCTTAAAAATATTAATATTTTTTTATTTTAAATCCTAAATTAATTATATTTTGGAAATATATAAAATATATTTATCTATAAACCAATAGTTAATTTGTTTTAATGACTTTGGTGTTTTTATATTTTCTTTTTTGAATACAAAAAGTAGAAATATTATCTAGAACTTATCGGCCTAAGTTTTGCAGTTCTTCACGTTCAACCAAAGCTGCTACTACAGCAGGGGGTCTGGAATGTGTGAAGACCAAACGGTAAGTACCATGCCATTTTTGTTAAACCATTTGCAACTACATTGCGTTCCTGTCCCACGTGTCTGAATCTTAGGTTCCAGTCTTGCTGGAGTAGTCTAACCACATACGATATCATTGATGACAATCGGTTCATTTCTTATCTTTTTTGTAGGAGCTAGATTTCCTCTTTGTTGTCTGTTTCAATCATAACATCGCGTAAGCCAAGGTTCCATGCTACCTCGAGGCCTACCACTACCCCCATAGTTCAGCGTCCAACACTGAGCATCGTCCAATGGCTTTTGAGTAACCGATAATCCATCTTCCATTAGGGTCTAGTACTGCTCCGCCACACGTTGTCTCGCCTGTTTCAATATTTCATGCACCATCTGAGTTTAGCTTATACCAGCCGGCTGGAGGGGTTCCCTTTGATTTCCCTGCTCCGTTTGATTGCGACAGAGTGAATTCTTTAAGCAACGTATGCTTAAAGCGTGTGAGGCTTCCCTTTGTAATCTTAAACTGGATTGTAGCACACTTTCCGTTTCACAAAAATTAGGTTCGAAAACAAACCTGTTTAGTCAAATCCACAAGCTCCATATTATCAATCCAAAAGTCAGGTTCCAGTCCTCCTGGTTCAATGGTAAGTGGCTTTGGTTCTGTAAATTAGCTTGTATCCATTCTTTCGTTGGCATGGAGAGAAATTCTTCTAATTTTCCAGGTTTGATTAGTTCATGCCAGGTCGCCCTTGCTACCACACACTCCCGGAATATGTGTGATATTGTCTCCATCGAATTTCCACAAAGCGTGCAGGAAGCGTTGTACGAGAAGTGGCGTCGAACTCGTTCAGCATTGGTCATTAATCTATTTTTTGTTATCAACCAAAGCAGCATGCGAATCCTTAGCAATCCCTTGTAGGTTACAATCACTTTCCAAACTTGTTCTTCTTCATCGCCTGTTATCAACATTCTACTTTTGAAAATACTTTTCATTGAAAACTTCTGATTTTCCTCCCATCTCCACATTGGTTTATCCACTTCTGTGTTGTTCAAGGGTGGTCGCACAGCCGCTATGCTGAGTATAGTTGTTTGTGGTAGTGAGTTCCACAGTAGATCCCATCTCCAGTCTCCATCCAGGCCCACCATACTTTGAACTGAGACGAAGAGGTTAGGTGGTAGCTCTTCTCCAAGTTTATATTCAATTAATAGCCCTGTATCTGCTATCCAGACGTCTCTCCAAAAGTCAACATATTGTCCATTACCTAGTGTCCAAATGATTCCTTCTCGTACTTCATTCCAAATTGTACTTATGCCTTTCCATAGTCGAGAACATCCTTGTCTTGTAACGCTTTCTGGCAGAAGTTCTCTAACTTTGTGTTTTGATCTCAAGACTGGTGCCCACAATTGGTTTGATTATTCCACTAATCGGAATCCCATTTTTATTAGGAACACTTCATTTCGAGATTGTAGGTCCCGAATAACAAGTCCGCCTTTTTCAATTGGTTGTTTTACCTCATCCCAACCGACAAGATTAAGGCCTCATTGATTGTCTGAGTTTCCCCAATTAAAATCCCCGTATAAGCTTTTCCATTTCGTCTCATGTGCCTTTAGAGGAATATAACAAGTCTGCATTGCATATGTTGGTACCGCCTCAAACACTGATTTTGCCAAGACCACTCATCTTATCAGAGTTAGTCTTCGTTGTCCATCCAGTTAGCTTTTCTTTTATTCTTTGAACCAAATATCCATACATTTATCGTGTAACACCTCGGTATTTCCCAAAATTGTCCACCCGGGCGAATTGGAACCCCTCACTTATATCCTTTTGTCTGAGGTTTCTACGTTAAGGGAAAAGAAAATATTAGTTTTTGCGAGACTAACCTTATGTCCAGAACTCTCACTAAATTCTCGTAGCACGTTTTTAATCACGTCAAGTTGTTCTAGTGATGCTTCCACAAACAGAATCAAATTATCGGAAAAAAAAAAGATGTGATAACTTCGGACCATCTTTTGTTAATTTTATCGGTCTCCATTCCCCACTTTAAACTTCCACTTGAATTGCTTGGGCTAGTCTGTCAATGCATAGTACAAATAGGTAGGGTGATAATGGATCACCCTACCGAATGCCTCGTGTGGGTTTAAATGGTTCTAAAGGCGTTTCATTCCATACAACATGAGTAGATGCAGTTGAGACACAACTCATGATTAGATTTCGTAAACTAGGTGGGCAACCTACATTCTCAAGAGTATTGTCGATAAAGGACCACTCCAATCTGTCGTAGGCTTTTTGAGATCATTTTTAATTGCCATCCACCCAACCCTGCCTTTTCTCCTTCGCATATAATGTATTACTTCCTCTGCAATTATTATGTTATCGATAATATTTCAACCCGGTA